TATTGACTAGATAGAGGGTAGGCTGGTATATAAAAGAAGGTAATGTAATGCGTGGGAGTAGATAGATAGTGAGTAATTGAACTGCAGTCAGAAGTATTATTGACGTTCGTTTGTTTAGCGCGATTGTTGAGTTCAGTTATATTCGGAAAGAATAAACCAGTTTTATTAAGTAAAGACTTGTGTCGCTTAAAATTTCGTCGGAACGAAGTTACGGAAAAATCAATTAACGAAACGGAGACGTAACAATATTTATGTACTAGAAATAATATTTTATCAATTTAATGAAATCACTTTTATAAATGTTCTAATACAATAACCATACATAAGGCGTTCCTGGAAATGAAACAATTCTCAACAGTGTATTGTTTGTTTTAGAGCAAAGCCACGTTGTACTATATGTTGTATCTACCGCGAGGAATCGAGTCATGGATTGTAAGTCCGTAAACTTATTACTGTCTCATCAATAGTGTCAAAAATTAAAATATTCAATCAGTTATACAATAGAAAAAGTATATTGATATAAAAATCAGATTCTTCACCTAAAGTCCTATTATCTTAAAGCATAAAAGTATTACACACTTGTATAATTTATTTATATTATTATCGGTTTACAATTATTCAAAACACAAAACAATAATTTTATCTGTTGGTTAATACTATTGCAAGATGTACGATATAATAAACGTACTATTTTTACTTCTTTCTATTTCTTCAGCAAAGAATTTTTCAATCTTCTCTGCAAACTTTCGTTTGATGCAGTAGACCAGCAGGATAACTAATAAGACGGCGCTAACAGTAATTAAGCCTAACCAAAATGGTTCCTCCAACATTCGCTGACTTAAAGGTTTGTAAGTAATCCGAATCACGTACTGAGAACAGCGAGGCCCTGGAAAATATATTCGTATACATGCATAAAACATACTTCAATGTTTTTTTACGTTTGCGATGATAACAGGTATACTGTTGGAGTAACTTTAAAGAACGTTCAAAGCTTAGTTGTAAAAAGCTAATACCAGAGAGTTAAAATGTTTTTATATAAACAAACTAATAATAATAAACATCGATAGGAATGTTTTTAAGGTAATGTAGACTGATAATGGAAAGGATAAAGATATCAAAGTGAGATTTTGACTTCAACGTTGTTGCTTATATATTCACCAGTTTATGATTACAGCTGTAGCAACTATTTTCAGGAGCTTTAGCCAAGGGAGTGACTGGAATAACGAAAAGACGCATGTTGCTCAACTCTGCTTACATAACACATCGTACCTCAATGTATTAGTTTGAAGGAGTTGGATCAGGCAGTTTCCTAAAGCAGCTATCTCATTTACTCCACTTATATGTACTCTACTGTGTGTTTAGTTATCTTGTTACACATTCTTTTATGACTGTACGCGTATGATTTTCTTTCTATACAGTTAAAATAGCGAGATGGGGGAATGTGTTCAGGATATATAGTACCACTGTGATCGTCAATAGAATATTAAATAATGAACTCTAGATATTAACAAAAATCGTGTTATTACCTTCATACATAGCGTGGCAACGACAATGGGTTGTATTATTTACAACTGAACAATCACCATGCTGACCACAAGGACTAGGGTCGCATGGAGTCACAAACTGGTCGCAGTGGTCACCCGTGTAACCTTCATAACAGTTGCATCTATAGCCATGTTCAATAATGTTACACGTTCCGTAGTCACCACACGGATTTAAGGTGCACCAGGGAATGTGGCAAAACAAACCTAAGATAACGAAAGTGAAATTTCACAAAAATGCAAATGAAATAGAAATCTTAGATTTTCTCTGAGAGATTTAGTTAGCAGCATAATCATACAAATCTGATTGTTATTAAATGTAAAGCTGCACAATAGGCTATCTGTGCTATGGTCAACTCAAGGATCGAACCCCAAGTTTTTGCGTTATAAATAAGCCAAAAATAATGTAAAAGCAGCTAATAGTTGGGTAATTATAGTTATTTAATAAACCGATAGATGGTAAATGTATTTTATGAAAAAGTGCAAGAAGATTCCAAAATAGTTAGAAAAATCCTGGTTCTGACGAATAAATCTTCAAATCGCTTTTTTACCAATCAGTGGTGGATAAACTTGAAACCTTTAACTTAAGGTTGTTTTTAACACATTACGTTTTATGTTCTTATCTGTACAATCAAGTTATATGAATATAAAAAGGGAACTATTATATAACATATGACAATTTTGTTTTACCAGTAAAATTACTTGTGCATTTGCACTGAAACCCTCCTTCAGGATGTGCTGAACATGAACCACCATTCTCACAGAAACACCCATCCAGTGAATGTGAGGTATTTAGTCCTAGAGATTTGTTGAGAAAGAGCAAATCTGAAAAAAAAAGAAAAAAAAAGTTAAATAAACCACTCCTAGTCATTTTCACAGAAGTAAATGGTTTCATAGTCATTAGTGTCTCACTTTCCGAAAGATTGTGAGACGAAGGTGTTAAAAGGTGTCTGCCTGTGTTTCTGTGATTTATATCTATAATTTGTAATATAAGGAACCATTCTTTTTTTATATGATTTTTCGCTAGCTTTCCTTATTAAAAAGATGCGCACACGCACGCACGTGGACAAGATAAGTAATAATACCCAGATGCACACCTTCAGGGTACACTTATTATGGGTGCAAAGTTTCAAGCTTCTAGGTTCTTTCCTCTTGGAGCTATGGTTGTCACACATACACAGACACGCACGTGCATTTCTGTCTGTCTGTGATTTATATCTATAATTTGTAGTATAAGGAGTAATTTATTTTCTATGTGATTTTTCGCATAAAAAGATGCACACGTGTGTGACTGTCTGTCTCTGATTTTTATTTGTAATATAAGGAACCACTTCTTATCTATGTGATTTTTTGCTAGCTTGCCTCAATAAAACGATGCGCATGCATGTGGATAAGTAATAATACCCAGGAGCAGACTCTCAGAGTCCAGTTAGTATGGGTGTAAAATTTCAGGTTTCTAGGTTCTTTGCTCTTGGAGCTATGGTAGTCACCGACACACTGTCTAACAGACACAACCTTTCATTATTATAGACTAGCAAAAGTACCCGAATTCGCTCGGGTTACTAGGTTGATTTATTCTAGATGACTATGTCAGCGTGTATATTCTGATCCAATTTTAGCATAAAAATATTAGGTCGCCAAGAAATTAATGTCACTTGTTTTTAGATGAAAATACCCGAACAACTTATATGTC